TTTATTTTTATTTTTATTTCTTTTTTTTTTTTTTTTCATTTCTGAAGCTTATTCTCTGAAAGTGCTTCTGTTCCATTTCCTCTTAGAAACAAGGTCTTCTTAGAGGCTGGGTTTTGGCAACCATCCTCCGAATATTTTCTTAACTGACGCTTTCTTGCAAGAATTTCATGTGCAGTTGTCTTGGTGCTTTTCATTAGATCTTTTATCAGCTGTTGCCTGAAACGCCTTCTCTTCCTGGCAGAGGTTTTTCAAATTCTTAACTGCTGATAAACAACCCCAGGAAGGTCTCATAGGTTAGTCACACAGTGGCTAGTCCTGATTTCAGCCTGGCTGTCCTACTGCAGAGATACTTTATCTTCTGGAATTTCAAGCCTTGGGGACGGTACCAAATAGAGCAACTGATTCTTCCCATACCTACCAGAGCTGTTTTGCAGGGGGAAGGAAATGACCTAGCTTCTCCCTATAAGAGGGGGAATGGATCAGCTTTCCAGTGCCATTGTGCCCTGAAGTTTCCATAAGGTAAGGCAGCTCTCAGGTTTTATCTGCTGTGCAGAGTCTTACCAGCAACATGTAGCAGCCAACTACCAAAGGATCTAAGCCAAGATCTGGCCAGGGGAAGGGGTGGATGGGTGTGTGAATATCGCACTGGAAGTGGGTGAGAACTTTAAGGAGAGAAGTGAAGAACAGAGGACTGACCTGACTCAGGGCAGGTGCGTAAATGCCAGAGGGGTTGGACAGAAATCCTAGCTAAGTGTCTGAAGGATCTTGCGAATGGGTCAGGCATGTTTGTAGAGACTCATGTTTTACAGACGGAACCTGAAGAGCTTTGATTTTTACCCTGTGTTGGGTTGCTGCCTTTTGGGGGTTTGGTAGGATTGGTTTTTTTTTTGCCTTCATTGTACTGTATTTTAGTCCTTTTAAGAACTGTTTTATCTTGTCTTTGCTTCATTTTGCTATGTCGTTGCTTCTTTTACTGATAAAACGTTCCTTGAAATTTCATTGTTGTATGTTGCTTTTGGTTATGTCGGAGAAATGCAGATTATATCAGGTACTAAAACAGCCTCAATAGAAGTATTGAAGTCTTTATTTGTTTTTTTCTTTTTTTTTTTTCCTCACCATATCATTTAACAAAAGTAACTGTTAAGAGTAACTGTTAATTAACTGTTAATCTCCAAAATGTCTTCTGTAAGAAGCATTGCTTGAAAGCTGAAGTTTTTTAAGAGTCCTGCCTAATCTTGTTTTACCAGCTGTCTCCAAAATGCCTGTTGGTCACCAAACCTCTGCTATCAAAAAGGGCCAAGCTTGGAGACTGTACTTACAGTCTCCTTTTGAGAACAGTACCAAAGGACATTGTTTTATGGTTTGTTGCCACCACTGTTCCCTCACCATGTGATATGAGACCTTAAATAAGCAATGTCTTACTGGAGAGGAAGGGAAAATAGAAAAATCATGGAAGATTTAAAATAGTTCTGTTTTTTCTTCACTCAGGACTGCTTGGTTGGATTTGTCCCATTGACATCTGGTGTCCTAGATTCATAGTTGCAGGAACATGAAAAGTAGTACCTTTTAAAAACAAAACAAAACAAAGAAACAAACAAAAAAGACACAACTTCAGCACTCAACTCTGACCATTTATACAGTATCTCACCAAGCTTCACGTAACAGATTGGGGTACACAGTGGTGTAAAGGTTTTGTTGTGTTTTCTTTTTTAGAAGATGAGCATCCATTTGTGGATTTTCTCTATTTGAAGAACACAACTACACAAATACGTAAACTAACTATGTGCTTGGGAAAACCTGGGCTTGCAACTGGTGGAGCCTTATTTTGGGGATGGGACTGGAGGGCTCCTATTTTATGTTCAGGACAAACAGTGCATCTGCCTTTGTTGCCCTCACAACAAAGGATTTATACCTGAATATACCTGAGCTCTGATGATTTTTACTGCACAAGAAAAAGGACTACTTCTGTGGAGGAGAGAGGGTCAGTAGGAGATAGGAGGTACTCAGAGAAATGAGTGATCATTCAGAGTCTCAGGACAAGTGGGTATCCATTTGTCCCAAACCCTCTATCAGCACCTGGCAGTAGACACCTTAGTGCCTTCACTAAATGGCCAGCATTGCTAAAATGGCCACCCTGATCAGGTGTTTGAGGCAGAAGATTGTAATATGTCATCAACTAGGTGTGTGGTTTTGAGCAGATGCCTTCAAGTGTCTTCCTACTGCAGGAACAGGAGAGTGAAAAAGCGTTTTACGAAGTCATTACAATAAAGCTAGGGGAGGCTTTCATTTTGTGAGACGTAGACTGCAAACGTTTTAGTCTCAGTCATGAGGCATTACATGTACACGGTAACTGTCACTGTTACTGTCATGTGCTTGCTGAAGTGATGGAAGTAACTTGCCTAACGTGATCGGGGGTAGGACCTTAACTCTGTCTTGTGGCCAGGCTTACATTGATTTTCTGCTCTGTGTGACTTGGTATGAAGGTGATATGGGTAGCTTTTGTAATAAGGATAAATGTTGTGAAAATAAAGCACCAAACACTTCTGTGTATTACTGCTGATGGATTCCATCCTGTTCCTGTAACACCTGTTCTGGAAATGTATTTTCCATACCTTTCTCAGGAGTTGCAGAAATACAAAGATATTTTTTAAGACATCATTTAATGTACTAGAATGATCTGCTCAGCAGTGCTTCTGATGCCTTAAGTTATCAAAGTTAGGATTCAAGAAGAATGTGAATTTGTCTTATCTCTTTTTTTTTGGGTGGTGGGAGGGGTGTAGTCTCAAAAAATTCTCAGAGATAACCCACAAGATTGGAAAACAGACTCTAGAATTGTTCCCCTGTCCTTTTTTTTGCATATGGTGCTCTTATCTAGCCTTGCTGTGCAGTTAAGTGCAGAAAAAATAGCTGCTTCTGGTTGTGGTCATGTTGTCTCTTCTCTGCTGCCTGCACTATGTTAGCTAGCACAGTTCTCTGCCGGGTACTGGTTGCTAATGTTTCTGAATGGTACTGGTTGTTTCTTACACGACCTTTTTTGAGTGGTGCAGAAAAGTGACAGCTGATGTTTATGAACACCCTACTGTAGTCAGCACACCCTGCTGTGGCTGGGGGGCTGGTGCCATGGGGCCAGAGGAAGGCTGCAGAGTTTGTCTCCTCCGTGTACTTGTTCGCAGGCCTCATGTCTGAGGGTCTTCCCCTCTGAAGTAGCCCAGGGTTAGGGTTGTGAGAGTCACACAGCCTGGAGCTTTTTGGCCGGGTTGGTGGCTGAGCCAGCTTGCAACACTTGGCATTTTGGCATCTGGACTGTTGCTGGGGATGAGGCAATGGTTTGGAAGCAGCCAGTCGACTCTGGAAGAAAGCTGCCTTTGGCACGTTCTTCAGTGAGCAAGTCCTGAAGGTTTTTAGTGCCAGACTGTTTAGAGATGTTTCCAACAGGAGGTAAACATTTTAATAATAGAGACCTTTCTTCCTCAGGCTTTTCCATCTTGCCCTGTCCCATTTCCTCCCTCTTCAGACTCCAAGCCGTGATCTAAAGTGTTGTTTATTCCCCGCTCTTTTCTTTCGTTTTATCCCTCTCCCTCATTTCACAGGGAAGCCTGTACAAGGCACTTTGACAATTTATTTAGAATGGGCTTTGACTTCTGGGATTTCCATTAAGAGCTCTTTATTTTACTTTCTGTTATTGTCTATGGCATTTGATGTGCGTCTGCAGTATTGGTTATTGTGTCTGATTTATTCGCATTTTAGTAATAAAGAAAATGGGATGCTTTACTTAATACATCTTTTTTTTTTTTCCTTGAGTCAGAATAGGCACTGTGACAAAACTAGAGTATTCAGAAAGAAGTGATTTAAAGAAAAAGAAATCGTTAGTTGCCTTTTGCAGCAGCTAAATGAAAAATATTAGTTTATATTGCTTGCTGTGCAAGTCTGAAAAATAAGTTTGTGCCTTTGGGAAAAATAAAGTAGTTTTTGTTTGCAAAAAAATGTGAAATAAAATGATGACTCTAGGAAAAGAGATGTGTGGCTCTTTTCTTCCCGTTCTGCGCATCTAAGGGGAGAAAAAAAGATTTTATATATAAATATATATATATATATATATATATATATATATATAAAAGTGTATTCTTTCATTGTTTCTAGGACACATTAGTTTTAGATGTTAGCATAAGCAGAAGGCAGGAATAGTACTGCAGTCTGTATGAGGCTGGATTGCACAGTTTTTCACTGCAAGATGATTAAAAAAACAAAAGTCCCCCCAGCTCCCCAAAACCTGGTTCACATTGTGTTCATTGCCACGTGTGGTTATGGTAGGCTGCTGGAAGGGGTAGTTCCTGAATGGAGACTGCCTGCACCAAGTGAGATACCTCTCTTTCATTGTAGACACTCTAATTTTCAGAGTTTTAAACTACCATACGCCTCTTTTTTGATTTCTTTCAAGATCTTGAATTTGAAATGAGTGTCTTGATCTGATGATTTTCTTTCCAGTGGTTAGGACTGAATTTTTGGCCTTTGGATAAAAAGCACAATAAGGTTTTCTCTTGGGGGAAGGGTGGTAGAGAAACACAGTTTGTTGCAAGAGGATTTTATGATGAAAATTCCTCACCCTGCAGCCCAGAAACTGCTGGACTGTTCTTTCTGAGCTGTGGTGATACCCAGATGCCCTCAGGGTTTCTGCTCTCAGTTCCTTCCAGACATGCCTTGCCCCTAGGCAGGGGAGGCAGACTGATGTGACAACATTTTCCCACAGCCTGTCAAGACTGATGTGATCTACATCAATCTGGGAGATGAAGGAAATATTGTTGGGATTCTGTGCTGTGTATATTTTTCCTTCTTTTCAATTTCTTCATTTCAGTGATGAAGCTTTGGGTACACACATTTTTGGGAGGGGAAAATGGGGAGAATCTCCACAGCCATAATAAAATGCTTATATGCTGGGCACAAGTGTTTGATAATTTGCATTTTGTGACTTAACACTCATAAATACTCTTTTCTCATGACAGGTTGCTGAATGCAATAAAGCCGGGATTGATAAAAAAGATCAACAGACTACCGACCCCCATTGCAGGTTTGGTGAGTATATCAAATGGAGAAAAATCTTGGTTTTGCGACTGTGTGATTTAGATAGCAATTATTTTTGTAATTTGAACTCTTCTAACTTACTGAACTCAGACAGTCCCGCTGAAATCTGAACAGTGCAGACATCTGAAGACCTTCCAGTCTATTTTTTTTTAGAAGGGGGACGTATTCAGGAGGGAGAGTGTATTTTTAGAGGAAAAATATCTTCTTGGTTATATACTGTCTGAGAGTTTCGGCTCTAGCTCCCTAAGAACTCAATTGTATGCTTTTCAAGCTGTGACCACAAAAAGATAGCTTTTTGGAAAGAAAGAAAAATGTATTTGTATATTTTGTCTCATTTGCCTTTTCCTCGGAACACCATAGTCTGCAGATAACATTCATTGCAGGACTATCTGGGGAACCATTTAGTGTTGACTTTATGGGCAGAGCAGAAGTTGGCCATAATCTGTCATGAGCAAGGAAGACCACAGAGGATGTACTTACAGCCTGTGGGCTGAACTTGACCCCTGAGACAGTTTTCTCCAACTCTTTGGGGTGCTGGTGCTCAGGGGGTCACCTCAAGAGGGTGTCACGGTCTTGTGCCTGCTGCTGGGAAGGAAGGTGGGGGTATGAATGGATGCTAGGTGTAGGGGGTGTGACACAGAAATATGGCTGTATTGATATTTTGTTTGTTTGTTTTTGACCTTGAGATGTGGCTAAGAATAAAAGGGCCTCTTGGGTGTGTGGAGGGTGACCATCCTCAATTTAGACTAATGATACACTTGCATACATAGTTCTTTTGTCTTACGACACTACTGATGTTTTAACTTAGTTTTGCAAGATTCAGAATGTATTAGTTGCTGGTAGTTGAGGTCAACGTTCCTTTATGTAAACAGCATTAAAAAGTTTCAATGTGTTCAGAAACCGTGCTACATTCATTTTTAAATTGGTTCTGTAATGTAATTACCTAGCTTTTGAGTCTGGGTCCCTCAACCTGTAGATTGACAGGCCCATTTCTGCATGAATACCACATAGTTTTAGAATTTCATTTGTGATCCCTACCACCCCATTTGCGATGCTTCCTCGTGTGCTTTTGTTTTGCCTCTAAAACCCATCTAGCTTATTCCTACCCAAGCCTAATTGAAAGGTGTACTTGGAATAAGCTGCGGCAAAAGATGCCAGTAGTGCAATTCTCATTTCCTTGTCTCCCATTCATAAAAGATTCCATTTTTGTTATGACTGTTTTTAGAAGATGATATTAAATTACATTGTGTTGTTGTGTTTTTTTTTTCTTATTCATGTGTAAAATCCCAAAGGTAAGTTGATTGTAGAAGGAAGGACGTGGAAACATTAAGTGTGTGCGTGTTCTCATTTTTTGAGATAAAGCTCTCACTTGCCAGATGTATGTCTACAAAGCAGTAAGAAAAAAAAATGTTTTTCAAGCTATTAATAATACAGCAGCTTGTTGGTTTTTTTTTTGTCTTGGAAGGTGACTTTTTTTTTTTTTTTTTTAACTTCTGTACCCATGTCCTTTAGTTACCTTAAGTAATTATTTTTCTAAATATTTTTCCTAATACAGTAGTAGACTGTTTAAAAGTTCACTGGCACGTCTGGCTTTTTGAACATTGCTAATGGGTGTTTTTACCTACTATGCTGTAAATAGATCATTCCAAACAAAGCAAGCCTTCCAACAGAGACTTGCTTTTAAACATGTCTAGTGCTGTACCTGTTGACTTTTGTTGCCATATTTACTTAGTGGTGAGCGATTGCTTCAAGGATTGTGTGCAAATTTAAAATTATTGAGTACGATTGTCTGTTAGCATGAATTTATGGCATAATATTTTAAGGTACAGACATCACTACTGTGTTTGAGCACATAGTGTATCTTTTTCTTCTCTCACACCTGTACCATGTCCATAGGCCTTAAAAAAAATTAAAAAAATTAACATTACTTTCCAGAAACAGTCAGAACTCCTCGTTGGTTGACTGCATGTGAGGGACATTCCTTTATTTATTGCTGATTTCTCTTTATTATCTTAGCTTTGGTTGGCTTGACATAGTATATAGTAACTTTTCCAGTTATTTCACCTCAGTGTGTGTGATTTCCTCCAGTACTCATGGAAATACCATGGAAGCATAACTGCCTCTTTTGCTTTGAGTGAAATGTGTGCTTTTGAACTCCTAAATATTGCTTCTGCCTAAAAAGTGTAACTTAATCACTCTACCTTAATTTCTTCCCTATAGCTGATAAAATAAGTATATAATTCACTAGTAGAGGCAACAGGTAGGTTTTCTGTTTTAGGAAATTGCAGCTAAAAGTTATGAGTAATGGTAAAGTACTCACTTTTGTTTCATCATTAACCTCTAGAGGCATAAACAGTCATGTATTATGTAGCTCTACAAAATGTCTACTTGAGTCTACTTTATTTCTCCAAATGATGGTCTATTTTTCTCCTTTGTTATTATAAGGACAAATGAAGAAGTACGCTTTAGTGAAGGAAATTAACAGTAAACTGTAGGCCTCTACTGGGGATATGCTGAGATATTCATCTGGAATTATTATCAACTCTAAAAATTTTGCCTATATTTGGTGTTTGAGTGATTTCTTATAACATTGCTGTGAAGTATTATGTGCAACTGCTCTACTGTTGACAGATTGAATTCTTCAAACTTTTCCTGGTGTTTGAAGCTAGACGAACCTGCAGTTACTCTGAAATTCTTACCGGTGATTTCCTCATGCGGTTTAAGAGAGAATGGCTTATTTGCAGACCTTTTGTATACCAGAACAGCAATCATGTAATCATGTAAGCAAAATTTATTGTTTCATAGCATGGCAGTGTTTGAGTAAGGACTCAGGGTTTTGCACACCACTCTATTAAGTGCAGGCTGTATAAATGGACAAAGATGATCTTTGTCTGGTTGCGGGCCTAAGTCAGGATGTGGATTGTATGCAACATTACATATAGAATTACATATGCTCAGCGTGGCAGGCCTGTTTGTAATTTGCTTTCATCTCTGGAAGTGCCGACTGGTTCTGTTATCACAGCAGAGATGATGCATTGCTTTAATGAAATAAAACGTAGGACCAATGGCTTGGTATTCAGACTTGCAGTGAGTATGAAGTTTGATGAAATGCTTTCTTATTCCTGTTCATTATACATTAATCCAGATAGCTAATACTCCCACCAAAAAGCAAATTCACAAAACATCCAAGGAACATATTAAACACATGTAGGATTAACAGGCTTTGCTGAAAGAGCCACGTTTCCAGGAGAAATTTTCTCATGCTAGAAGTTGATACTGAACATCTTTGTTTTAAAGCTGTTAGCTTTCCAGAAGTATCATTTCATGTATTTAATTGTGCAAGCCTGGAAAAGTATTTTGGCTGAGTTTTTAATTAAAAGACCACAATGATGGATGAGTAAGGTACATTGAATATGATTATAAGTGATTTTTACAAAGCCAACAATTTTTCAGTGAGTTGCTGTTGGTTTCCTTCATGGGGTATGATGTTCAGAGTGGGCACAACTTATTTTTAAGGTTCCTACAATTTTGTACAACTATATCATTATATATTTAATTCTATAAAAATAACACATCTGCAGCACCCTAGGTAAGCAATGCTCTATAATGCTAACCACTATATGTCAACTATCTTTTTCCTTTAAAAATATTCTAGTTCTTGCTTCCTGTCCCTGAATAATGTCACTCTGTGAGAAAATAAAAGGTTTCTGCCTTATCTTTTGTTTGACAGAGTTTAGGAGAGTTTATAGCATTACTTCAGTTCCTTGAACAATCCCCACAGGAGCTTAGACACTTACTTCAGAGACTGTGTGAAAGACTCTCACATATAATAGTAGGAAGTAGCCAAGACAAAGTTAAAGGGCTGAACTTTAGCTTGTATCTTGGCTCATATTTCAACACTACTGAATAAAAATCTGTTTATGATGGTATCTAGTTTTCAGCTTGTGCATGGTCCTCATCTTTGTATGTGTGATATTTGTATGACTTAGCAATGCAAAAAATAGCCCAGTGAAAGTCACCTGGTTGCATAGTTATTGCACTGAGGTGAGCAGAACTGTAACTTACTGTTTAAAAAAAAAAAGGCTTCTTCCTTTGAAAACAAGATATTTTTTTTCAGTGATTATTTTCCTAGGAAGTTTCTCTTGGCAAAATGTTCTCTGGGAACTTGCTATGAACCTTATCAAGAATAGCTACCTGTCTGTTGGTGCTGGTAATTTGCTTTTATGCTGTCCTGTTGCATAAACTCCAATGTTTTTTGATGTCATATGATGTCTCAACAGTATTTCAGCATTGCATTCATTAGCTTTCAGGAATTTGTACTTCTAATTAAGTTCAGCAAATTAAATGATTTTTCTTCATGATAGGAGCCTGAAAATGTAATTACAAGACACAAATATAGTGAAGACACAAACATAATGTAATGTATGTCACAGAATTAAAAATAATTTAAGGAGATAGAGAAATACATGGACCTTTAATTGATGTATATTGTTTTTCATTAATCTTTCTAACTTGTACTTCAATGTTGTTATGTTTTTGTTGAAGGAAGAATGAGAAAATATATTTTTTTAATTTCCCACTCTCCCTCTAATTCCATATAGCATTTTCTGGAAAGAGCCAGCTTCTACTGTAATGTCTAGATCCATAAACCATGATAATTTGTTTCCTTAATTTGTGCTTCTTATTTCTGCTGCACAAATTCATTTGCCAGCGCAATTGTATCCATAAAGAAGTCCTGCTGTGTGAGGTGTGGTACATGTGAAGTAAACAGAAGCAAGATTTCCTCACTGTCTAACAGGAGTAAGTTCTTGGCACTCACATCCCACAAGCATTTTTGGGAATGTTGGTGGAAAACAAAGCATCAAACAGCAGAGCAAAATCCCATGCAAACCATTCTGTCATGGTTTCTGTGGATCTTCTTAGTAGTAATTGGTTTCTTTATACCTCCTGTGCATGCCTTCAGTTCTGGTATCTGAATGTTTGACTAGAAC